ATATATATATAATATAATTGTGCCTAAACCATGGTCCATGGGTAAACCTAACTTACCATTCTGCCTTCTACGTTGGCATAGGCATCTATACGTTTATACCATGGGACCTTCCCCGGGAAAAAGTCAAAAAAGTATTGTTTGGAAACATTTTAATGCACCGGAAAAAGGAAAACAAGTGCCAACTTGTAAAACATGCTCGAAAGGATTAAAAACCATAATTTTTATAACCTAAATTTATTTTATTTTATATCTTTTTTATTACTACTTATAAGAATTATATAATTATTCATGACCAAGAGTATATTTTTACCGTTACTAATATGTTCTTTTCTTCCAGTTGAGCTAGCTCATATGGATATTATAAAATAGTCGTAATTTACCTAAAATTACATATATCGATATATTTTTCACGATATATCGTTTTCGAAATAACAGAAAACCGATGTGTCGATAAAGATTAATAATTGCCATCCCTGAGTATAAGCCAACTTGTTTAAAATATTACTTTTAAGTTTAATACCGATAGAGTTAATATATTTGTAACTTTTTTCCAGGTTGCACCCGAGTATGGCCGGAGCTGTGAGTTACCATTTGGACGACGTCATGGATGCCATTAGACGTAAGGACTGTTCAGTGTTCCAATGTCCTTCCGGCCACAGCTAGATCACCGGCTAAGACTCAATAATAATAATAATAGGACGTTATTTTTGTAAAACCAAGCCTGGGATGTACAACTCTTTCTCGACTATTTATTTATTGAAAATTTTCACAGGCCCGAATTCACTGAGACTTAGGCCTGATCCTTTTCGGTCCTTAAGTTTCAGGAGAATTCAGGTCCTCTTTCTTCTCATCTCGTGCGTCCCTCGATACGATAACTGACTACTTTGTAAATATAGCAATTGCAAGCCCCGGTTGATTCCATTTTTATATTGTAAATATTGTAGTTGGCTTATTTTACAAGGCGAATTATTGTAAATTAAGAACTTTATTATTTATGTATGCAATGTGGTAATAAGTTTTTGTTTTTGTAAACAAAGTTAATATTTAAACAATAGAATTTTTAATTGATCTTTTTTACTACCCAGTTCTATTATGTATATACAAAATAGACCTACAAAAAACGTTTTATGTTTGGTTTTTGTTTACATGGTTCTTTAAAAAATAGTAAAACTGACAAACAAGGGAAAATAATTCATTAAATGCTAATCCCTTTGCTGTTTTCGTTGGATCAATATATGTTGGTATATGCTGTACGTAGCGGCCATATTGTTGAATCTTTCCAAATCTTTTGACTTGGTTAACCATTACCGTTTATTTTGCAAGTTGGAAAATATTGAAATTCAGGGTATTGATCATTCTGCCTCTTGTCCGCAGGGTCGCCACCAGAAAACAAAATTTGGTGAGGAGATTCTTCCGAGATCCCGCCCAAGTGCGGAGTACCACAGGGTTCCAAACTTGGCCCTCAATTATTTTTAATATACATACTCGTCGTGGTAATTACCTGCGATTAATCAAGACTGAAAATTAAGCACACAATGGATAAAGTCATGGCTTGTTTTTCGGAATATAGACTTGCTTTTAATATAATGAAAAAGAAGCTATCAGTTTTAGCTCTTGCCTTGATTTTTCGTCTGCTGTCATCTTGAAAGATGGCGAGGGTCCTCATTAGACCCAGCATAACAAAGTGTCGGGTGTTGTCCTTCACATGTTGAGATGGGAGGAACATATTTTCTATCTGCAACCTAATCTCGGCCGACTTTGTTTTGCTATTGATCAGAGTGGTTTGTACGAGCTGTTCCCAATCCTCAAATAGAGATGATTTTTTGAGGCCAGCTCACACTTAAATAAGGTTTTTCTTATTCAAAAAAGAATTATTAGTGTTATGCTCTGAGGTAGCTATCGCGACTCGCGTAGAGAGCTTTTTAAAAAGTCAAGAATCCTGACACTGTCATGCTTAAACAAGGTGTCTCTCTACTCAGTACCTAGGTTGTGAACCTTACTTAATCATTAATCTTCCTCAGTCTCTTCTATGTCATGCCCACCCCTTCCTTAGCTTCGTGATTGTTCTCCGTAACGTCGAAGTTGAGCATATCGGTTGAAAGCTTAATTCAGGAACATTTACCATTCTTATTGAAACATTCCAAGCTGAGGTTCATGCAATACAACTCTGTGCACAGGAGTTAATAAAAAAAAATTATGAAAGGCCCACAGATTTACACACTTTTAGATTGCCAGGCTGGTATAAACACACTAAATCTGTTCGTTTTGTACTCCAAATTTGTCTGGGAGTGCCTAAATTGCCTAATGACTCTGGAAAAACAAAACTACATTTTCTTAATGAGGGTTCCCGGACTGGAGGCTTAGAAGAAAATGAAAAGGATGACCAACCAGCCCAAAAGGGACACCCCCTCACCCATGGGACTAGTACCACAACTAGATCCACCGGAATGTGTGGGTAAGTTGGCACTTGAAAAATGGACCGTGAAAGAAAAACTCATACCCTGGTCAAACACGCCAGGTATGAGGCAAGGTAGGTGATTTATAAAGCTCTCAAAAAGTAATTCTTCTCTCTCTCTCAACCATCAGGAATTTCACCCAATAGCTTACATAAAGATTAATTAATTGAAAGAAGTTACTTGGTCAATCGGACCACGAAATATAATGGATTTAATAAGTAAAACGAAGTATATCTTCACTCTGTAGAGAAAGGGAGGGGTTGTAGGCTGACATGGGGAGTTGGTGTCCGAGTGGATCGAAGTCACGATAGCTCAAGTGGTTAGAGCAGCGGCGTATTGAGTTGAAGATCGTGGGTTCGCATCACGTTCATGACACTAACTTTTTCATTTCAACCAATACCTTACATTAATTAATTGAAATAAGTTATTTGTCAATCGGACCACGAAATATAATGGGCTTTCATCTAATGCTGGACACAGCGGATACAGGAAGATGCCGACTGTTTCAAGAGGAATTAGAGACATATGATTTGGGAATGAGAAGCCTTTGCCCGGTTACAGCCACTTCGCCATGGCAATTTTTACACCAAAAGAAGAGGCGCTTTGTCTTCTTATAAGAAAAATCGCATTCTCCAAGGTATGGCTATAATCTATAGGTGTTCGACAATACATCTACTTAGGTCACAGTGTAGGAAAGGATTGTCATAATCTATATCAACCCCATCCCTTAAAAAAATCCAAATTGAGTTAACTTCCTTAAATGACTATTAAAATTGCTTTCTAGACTCTTCATAATGATTTGAAAGTTTTTTAAAAAGATAATTGTGATTTTGGATTTTTCGAACATCCTCTGCTCCGATGGTATATCTATATAATAATACATTACTATTATAATGTATATAAAATGGATTAATCTAAACTAGCAGTATATTACCATCAGAGAGTTTTTAGAGAGTAGTTTACCTTAAATATCAATGTTACTACTGCGACTTATCCAATCTCTCATATGATCCAGAAATCCTGAATGGAAGGTGTACTAAAAATTAGAAAGATTTTGTTTTGTAGTGATTGGATACGTTGGAGGTTCGAGCTTTACAGTACCATGTCGTCTGTCCAGTAACATAAATGAATCGTTTATTTTGTAGTTTGATCGTTCGTCCAGCAATATTTTAAGAAGTAAGAGATACTATTGTAGCAGATGGGAGCAGGGGTTATTCTCCGAAGGGGGAATGTAAAATGCCCGGATTTTTGTGTCTATCGTTATCTTCCACCGCTTGAACCGAAGAGGTATGACATAGGTTTGCAAGTTTTCTAGGTAAGACTCGCTATACAGGTTTACTAAACCACTGTATATATTTGTAAATAACAATTTCTGTTCTCAACTTATTTATTCACAGTCATAACAAACGGATGATCTATTTTCCCTGAGATCGTGTCTTTATTTTCTGCGGTTTCAGATATAGTGGATATCGTTTACCACGACACCCGATAGAACGTACAACCTGTTAAAGCATACAAAATAAAAAATCTCCGGCACCGTGAAATGGTATAGTAAAAATTACATTATCATTGTTTACAAAGTACACACCGTTTAGAGCGTGCAATTTTATGGGTCCGGGGGGGGGGCAGAAGTATCGGTTACAGCGTACATCGGAAGCAAATTCTGATTCTGGGTCGTTGTTAGTCTTCACTTCGGCACTGTTTATGTTCAATGTACATACAAATCGATTCATCCCAATCCATTGTGTGCTGAACTGATGATTCAGTGTAAGTCAGTCTCTCGAAGCGGAAAGATGCCTCGTCAACAGCACGCTGCATCCGACCCGAAACAGAAGACGAGTGCGATTTTGGCAAAATTCCATCGACTGCTGGAGCATATACAATGTTCACTAGTTCTCGTGGTCCGCTTGACCAATTAATATCTTTCAATTAATTAAGGTTTTTAGTTGAGATAAAAAAGGCAGTGTCACGAGCGGGATTCGAAACCACGACCTTCGGCTAGATACGCCGCTACTCAACCACGTGACTTCGATCTACTCGGACACCAACTCACCATCTCAACACTACCTCTTGAATTTTCTCTCCTTTTTGCCATTTTTTACCAGCGGACCACGAAAACTAGTGAATTTAATAAGTTAAAATGAAGTATATCTTCACTAAAGCTCTCCGTGGCCATTTCATTTGTCGCCGAGAATCAAATAGATTACCCGACATTTGAAAAATGGCAAAAGGGAGGGAAAATTCAAAAGGTGGGTTGAGATGGGAAGTTAGTGTCCGAGTGGATCGAGGTCACGATAGCTCAAGTGGTAGAGCAGCGGCCTATCTAGCCGAACATCGTGTGTTCGAATCCCGCTCGTGACACTGACTTTATTAATCTCAACTAAAAACCTTAATTAATTGAAAAACTTAGACAGTAGGCTGACATAGAATCCTCAAGATTCAAGCGACAAAAACGAAATCGACGATTTGGACAACAACTAAAGTTTGTAGAACTGAAATCAGATATAATTCTGTACAAAACATTACTTCGGCCCATTTGGGCGTCATGATAGCTTAAGTGGGAGAGTAGCGGCGTATCTAGCCTAAGGCCGTGGGTTCGAATCCCGCTCGTGACACTACCTTTTTTATCTCAACTTAATTAATTGAAACATATGAAGTATGTTCGACACTCAGGGCATACGTATGTACTTACTACTTCCGACGATACCAGTCAGAGGAGCGTCGACAGCAATCGAGAAGGACTTTTGCACAGAATATAAAAATAAATATCAGAAGAAAATCACTGAATTATTTACAAATGTAGAAAAAAAGATAATATACCATACCTAAACGAAAGAATATGAATGTAGAAGGAATTTTGCATTAAAGGAGATTTTTTTTCATTCAACACATACATATATCCACTGTATACGGTTTCTTTCCCAATTTCTGGATCTGTATTTTTAACCAATCTGTCCCAGACTGCCATATCACACCGGATATTAAAAGAATCTTCCGTTACAAAGTGAAGATTAATTTAAAATAAGAGATATTAAATATTTCTCATTATTTTTCGATTCCGATGTACAACAGATTTTGATTATACAAGTGATTTTACAAAATCGATAAATTGAGCCCGTTGATATTAAACCCGAGGAGATCTCATCAGCCAATGACTTATATTTAGGTTATTTATCAATTTTCGTTATTAAGAGATTAATTATTATCGAAATGACGTTGTGAACTTTCTAAGTTTACAATTTTAATGGGAGAAACCAATAAAGAGAACGTGCATCGGATATTATCGTTTTTAAATTAACAGCTAATAGGTTTTAATATGCTTTCATTCACTTTGCAAATACATACGAGGCAAAATGGAAAAAGTTTCACTGACCTTTCTTTACGACGTGTCACTCATCGATTCCAGAGGCCGGAAATGAGACTACATCAAAGACAAGAACCGAATCAAACATGATTAAGAGAAAGCTGGATCTAGATCGACCAGGCAACCATCACTTCAACGGTTAACTACATTTTTCAGACTCGTTATCACTCAATACAATCAAAACAAAATATTATTTTCACTGTTAAACGCAAACAATCTATAATAAATAATAAATAATTACTTACTTTCAAAAAATTGTTATCACTCATTGGGTTTAGAAGTAGAAACTTGAAGGGTTTTGTAAAATCGCTAATTTCTTAGACGTACAGATCGGTATCGTTAGTTATATTTTTACAATCTTTTACTCTGATAAATACTAATGCCTGAAATAAGAATAAAACAGTTTTTATGCTTTTTTCGGAAGTTGTCTACTCCAGAGTAGACGCAATGCACCGCATGAAATTTGTTCGGAAAATGTATGTTAATTTAATCCCAAGAAATTGTTGATTGTGACTAATTGACTAAAGAGTTCAAGTTTGTTTTGTGGCAAACATCGCTGCCTTAAATGATATAAGAAATTCTGCACTTGCTGTGGAATCAAAGTGAAAAACTGAAAGCCAGTGTACATTAACCTCGTAAGTATTCAACATGAAATTATCAATGACAAAATATGGAGATAAGAGAGAAGGAGTGAGGGGAGCGGATAGAAACAAATAAATAAAGAGCGGGAGAGAAAGTAAGAGTTAGAGAGAGAGAGGAGAGAGAGAGAGAGAGAGAGAGAGAGAGAGAGAGAAAGGGAGAAAGAGAAGGAGCGGGAGAGGGAGAGGGAGTGGAAAGTGTGAGGGTGAGAGAGGGGGAAAGGGAGAAGGAGAGGGGGAAATAGCGGGAGAGAGAGGAGTGGGATAGGGAGAAAGACATGGAGAGAGAAAGATAGATGGATGGATAAATGTAAACAGAATGATAGAAAGACAGATAGATAGATGGATAAATATAAACAGAATGATGGATAGATAGATACAGAGAGATAGAGATAGATAGATTGATACATAGATCGATATATATATATATATATATATATATATATATATATATAGAGAGAGAGAGAGAGAGAGAGAGAGAGAGAGAGAGAGGAGTGGGAGAGGGAGAAAGACATGGAGAGAGAAAGATAGATGGATGGAGAAATGTAAATAGAATTATAGATAGAGAGATAAATATAGATAGATAGATACAGAGCGATAAAGATAGATATATAGAGCGAGAGAGCGAGAGAGAGAGAGAGAGAGAGAGAGAGAGAGAGTGAGATAGAGAGAGAGAGACAGAGAGAAGGAGAGGGAGAGGGAGAAAGACAGCGAGAGAGAAAGGCAGAGAGCGAGAAAGATTAAGAAAGATAGAGAAATGCTACACTGAATAGCTGATAGGTTTTAAAATAGGAATTTAAATAATGTACTTTCTATCTTTTAAAATGTTACAAATCAAAATGTATTCTGGGGGTCGTTGTGACGGATGGACTATAACTTCTACGAGGGGACGCTTTACCTACGCTGAAAGCAATCATACTACTGGAAGGAACTCACACAAAGTCCTGGATTTAATTCCGAACAGCTGGAAAGTACTGATCTTATGAACCTGAAATGTCCTCCAACTAGATCTCGCTACTACTTCCCTACTATTTAAAGGACTGATATATCCCTCCGGAATGATAGTAGCGGGGTATCGCAGATTCACAAAGAGTAACTACAGCCTTTTTATTCTTGTGGCAAACAATTGTCCTCATATAATTTATGAAGTTATCATAAATGTCGGCAACCGTTGTACCAAAAACGTTGCTTGTATTAATCCGAGGCAATATAATGCAAATATGGCTGGCGTTTATGACTAAGCGGGAGCCTAACCAAACAGCGGTTTCAATAAGAAGGATATGACTCTTCAACAGAATGTGACCGCACTCCTCGTTAAACTAGTTCAGAGCGGTAGTCTTACCGATAGTATCACGGTAACTTTCAAACTCTATTAGCTCTCCTGGATCATAATCATTCAAATTGTACACTCTTGACCCACATGGAATTCGGTGAATTCCTCCTACAATTGAACTTGTTAAACACAAAAAGTGGTAAAAACATTACTCGCCATTCAACAAATTAAAGAAGGTAAATTCTAAATTTGGAATCATAAATTACAATAATTAGTCATCTGCACAAGAAGAAGCCTGTTAGAAAACGTTTTCGTGAACGGCACATTTCAGGATAATAAGTGAAGATAAGAAAAAAATAAGCTCAATGAAAATAATATTACCATTTTAGACTCAATAGGTTGTTATGGATAAATGTTATTAAAAACAGTCTGGTTCCCAGTGTTGGCGAGTCAATACGGCTATCTGCCCTCGGTGTTTTCACCACGAATCAGTTATTACAGGTAGTTTGTTTTCCTTTTTTGCCTAGGTCGTTTTCGAAAAGTTGTCTGATCAACGTTCATGGTAATTGTTGGAACTGAGTATTATTTAAGAAAATAAACCAAATTACCGAAATGACTCGGTCCTGACTAACCTTGCTTCCCACGTGGCCATCATGGTGAAGGATTCGTTGCGGTCGTTGAGGCTACTGATCTACCAACTGTCAATCTCTCGTAAGCCAATATTTTCATACTCTGTTTAGTATTCAATAAAATATTATATAAATATAACCCATTTGAAAAAAGATAATTCGTAAGTTCTACGGCTAACCGACAGAAGAAAAGATGGATACGTTACACTCAGAGGAAATACGAATAAATACGGGAATACCCCAAGGGAGCATCCTAGGTCCTTTACTTTACTGAAAATGGACGGCATAATGATTGCAACGTTAGAAGATGATATACAATGGTGATACCAATAGGACCGGATACCAACCAGTTTTTTTAATTCTTCAAAAGGCAATGAAACAACATAACGAATAAAAATGGAGATGCAGACTAAATCAGCATAAATCGTACAAAGCATAAACTTTACAAATAAAAAATTAGACTACCGTCTCTCACCATTGTTCGTATCATACATACAGCTAAATACCCGGGAATGATCCTGAATATCAAGCTGAAATGGAAAGAGCATGTGAAACTACGGTCAATCATACAGGCCCAAATCACTACTACAGACAATTAATTATTACGCCTTTCGAAAAGAATTTACTAAAAAGAATAAAACCCTTGTAGTTTGGTTGCCTGGTTTGCCCAGTCTCGCTGGTTTTGCATGACCGCGGTGTTTCATCGTTATACCATATTTAGTGATTCCCGTATATCGCTTAACTAAAACAGGTTAAGCACCTCTCAGATATCACCATTATCACAACAAAACTGCTATGAGATCTTATCACAGTCTGTAGAGGTATGAACAGTTGATAAAATGACAACTTCTTTCAGAAGGAATGAAAACCTTATTCATCTTTCTTCCATCCAAGTTTATCTGTTAGCAAAATTTCTCCACCTACGAATTTGCAACAATAGGATCTTAGGGGTTAAAGATAGGCATATAAGAGGTGGAGAAAGAGCTTTTCGCACCTCGACCTAAATGATCCAATGTGTTCTTTTACTTTTGTTTAGAGCACTAGTTAGCTTTTGTCTATTGATCAAGTTTTTATACTTGCCAGTGGTTCTTTTCTGTACGAACTGTACCGAATTTTCTAATATATCGATATCTGGATTGATCATCAAAGTAACATAAAATGTGTTCCGCGGTCTCTTTCTTCTTCTTAGGAAATCATCAATGGTCCTATCAATATTCCCCATCCGGTACATATGCCTTCTCAAGTTCTGTATGTCTTTCGAACAGATTCTCTTAAATAAATTAGAGTCCGTAATGGATAAATTAACCACGATCGACGATAACGTGGAAAGTATGAAATCCGACGTCGAAAAAGAAAAATCACAAAATCAGATCTCCAACAGGAACTTTCACTATCTAAAATATGTTTCCTTGCTTCTCGAAAGCCCTAACTGAAATTAAAGAAAAAACTGTGGTAGCGAAGAAGAATCTCGAATCACATCTGACAAGATCAAATATACAATTTTTTAAGCTGAAAAGACTTGATTATGCGTTTTTTAAGTCCCTCATTAAAGACAAAACGTTACCACGTTCAGGAGCGAAGATATTTAGTACATTAAAAAAACTGTCGAAATTCAAACATTTTACTCGTCATTTTACCTCATTTGATATGAGGAAGAATGTGTGAATGGTAAAAAAACTCCTTGCATGGACTTCAATATATGTGAAGATCTTTCACATTAAGGAAAGACTAACTGGGCAGAATTTATTCCATTTGAGGGAATCTTGATTGTGGATGGGATTTCTTGGCCAATCGAGGTGAAAGCTGCTGGTCACAATACAAATACTTCTGGTAATAGTCGTACATTTCGTATCACTATATAGTAGTATTGGAGAAATTAAAAAAAAAAATTAAACAGGAATGAACGAACCTTTTGAGTCCCTAACTGCAGGTGCTCTGCAGAGTAGTTAAGAAAGTCACCGTTTAGCTAAACAGATGGACGGCCCAATTCCATCAGTTTTTTCAGTAGATGAAGCTTTTCAAAAATACAATAATTTTTATATTCTGTAAATGCCTTCAACAAATAAATAATATGGGAGAAAGATGAATATATGAATTTTTCACTTCTTATGAAAGGAGATAAGGTAATGACATATAAGCTAAGTAAGCTAAGGACGACCATGAACCAGGCAGGGTCATGCAAATGAACAGCTAAAGCTGAAGGAAGAATTACACGCTGAAGACATGTCAGGTGTGCAGATTATGTTACAACCACAAAATTCAGTTTCACAACAAGCAAGGTTTCTTAAGTCCGATTCGTTATGTTACACCGACGGCTCAAAGACCGGGAGCCAGAGCCTTACTTGATTATGTCCATAGGCAGATATGATAGATTTTTTCAGGAAGAAATTAAAGAAATTGAATACTGGTCCAGAGAAATAAAAGGATAAGGAGTACACTGTAGGAAGATAGCCACACTATCTGACATGCTTTCCCGTATACTCGGTCGTCGTTAAAAGGATCTTAAAAGGAAAAACAGGATACTTCGAAAAATGGATGGATGAAGAAGGCAACCCCAACCAACCAGGATACTGGTTTGACTCCTGACAGGACATGAGGTTCCCAAATACTCGGTCGTCCTTAAAAGGATAATGAGGATCGTTAACGTCCGCACCTAGCCTATTCGGCCTTATAGGACGTTTTGATTCTCAAGATGATAGCTGACGCACCTTCACGTACGACAGAATGGTGTTACTGCCGCAGCATTGGTGTAGAGGCAGCTCAGCCCCGAAGGCCTAAGACAACCTCGCTCCCCGCTTTCCCATTACGAGAGGTCGGGGCCTGCATTAAGCATCAGTATGCCGCGCGAATAGAACTACCTAAGCCGAAATACATCAGCGGTCTTCTGCGCACTCCCTAGGTAGAGAAGGCCACTCTACCTCTCAGAGTTGTGGGGCTTCCCTAGCGTAGAAACTACCGGATCCGCTTCGGCCGCGATTTTGTTTATAGTGGAATTGCTAACCACCACCTAGAGGAAGTACCGCCTACGGTAAAAGCTTCCAATCGAGCTCAGCCTTCACCTACGTGCAAAGCATACTCGAGTAAGAGCAATCGATTCACTACCCCCTACTCACGCATTCGAGGGGCCTTTCAGCATAATCATAGCGTCCTCAATGCTTATACGCTGCCGTCCGATCCGCCGTATCCCGTGAGGCCGGGTCAGTGGTTATATGCAAGTTTCTTGCGAAGGTCACAGATAAAAGACAGCCTCTGTCTAAGTACCCGCCAGGGGTCTCAACACGGCCAACTACGAGTCCATTCCCATTGTAACAGGGGCTGAACTTTTAAAAAAATTTATGTTACCCCGTAGGACAGATGGTTATGCACCCTCTCCCGTCTATGCAGACAGGATCTGGTCCCGAGGCTGACACGAGTACAGCTTGTGCTTTAGAGAGGTTGCCACGCCCTCAGGGCTGCACCGTTATTTGCGCCCGGACATCCCCCTTGTAACCAAGGGTTGGGAGAATCACAGGAAAACTATATCTGACAGTCAGACAACACTCAAAGCTTTCACCTCATTTTGGGTGAAGTACAAATATTTTTGGTATTGCATGAAATCCATTCTAAAAAGATAGCCATACTTTCTGACAGGCTGACAGCTTCCAAAGCTTCAACCATATGTGAGGAAAATCCAAAATGTGTCTGGAATCATGAAATCCATTCTCACGATCTCACTCACCGACAGTCAGGCACCACCCAAAGTTTCAACCTCATGTCAGGTCAAGTCCAAACCTGTCCGGAGCATATTTAAAAATATATTCTAATTGCCAAATATTTTACTAACTCAAAAAGAATATTTCATATAATTTTAATACAAAATATTCATAGTTTTACATATTTTAGGACATTCTATATCCATTGACTTTTCTACGGTTATAAATTGAAAAATCTTTTCAATGTTTTTATTGACCAATATTTCAAGCTAGCTTCTACTTGAATAAAAGAATTTTTAATTATTATATTATTATTTCGAGCAAAGTTAGCAAACTTAAATATTACATGGGACCGTCACCGTTGCCATCGATGATGCCGGAGATATGTTGGTGATATCGTGATCTTTCTTTGGGTGTATTATTTATCTTTTAGCTTCTTAATTGGTCGCTAATTGTAGCACATTGCCACTTTTTTCATTCGGTTTGAAACTAATTACGAGGTGTCAGGCAAAAATATAAGCTTTTGTTTGCTGGCTCTCGATTATGCTCTTTGTTTACAAGAGGAATTTTGAACGATTTTTTAGTTTTTTATTATATAGTAAAGTTATTAAATAGTTACGTTTTTTATTACATGTATAGGGTAGTCAATGGCGGATGTCAGATCCTCGAGGGAATAAGTTCTGATTGATTTTTTTTTAAATAATGGTTTTAAGTATTAGGTTCCACACCTACCATGTCTTAAGGACATTCACCCGGAGCTTCATTTCTTGGTTTTCTATCACTACTTTCCTACTTTTAAGCTACCTTATCAACTTAAAAAAATATATTTCTATTTTGTTAACAATGCTTCAGTTCAGAATTTCTTTTTTCTATAAAGACGCAAGAACAACGATTAGTTTATCTTCTATTCGGAGTCGTTTTTAAATAAAATAATGTCAAAGATAATTCGATAGCGAATCGAGAACGTCGGATCAATAATGATAATGCCCGAAGGGAAAGGATCTTCAGATAGGTCAATGCAACAGGACAGCGTACTCAAAACACTACAATCTCTCTTGGTTGATGAGAAGAAGAACGTTTGTCCAATCCCAGGACATCCTGTCTACAATCGAACTATCAATTACTGTCAATTCCATTCAATAATCATTAAGGGAAACTATTTTTAAGCGATTCGCCATCTGCGTTGATTCTAATTTCAAAAATACAATCTCATAAATATGACAATAAAGAGGAGAAATTAATTTTGATAATATTTATACAAAATAAACTGTAGAAACTATGATTGAAGGTTGACTTTTTTGCTATTGTTATCAGGGATCTAAGAATTTTCTGTTTAACTATAAATTAACATTTATACGCGGTTTTTCGAGCGTTTACTTCAGTTGTGGTAAAAGTTAACAATGGTCTTCGTAAGGACGCTTTCTAGAGCCGATTGTCCCATCCTCGCCTCAAAGGCGCATCCCTTTTACCCCTGAAATAATTACATCATTTTTTGTTCCCATTATTTCGTACACAATTATATTCTATTCATAGGCGAGTCCTTGAGACGCAACAGAAAAAACTGGGAGGGACCAGACAAAAGTGGTACAATCAAGATCTTCCACTTTCAGGAAGACGGAAATAATCAACAGTGTAGATAAAAAGAAAACAATGGATTATTATTTATAACTTAAAGCTGTTAACTATAACAAATGACGATAAGAATAAAAAACTATTTTTGGTCTAAATTAAAATACGGCTAGTAAATAAATTCTTGCATTTGGTACTGACATTCAGTAATATTTTAACATTTGCATAAGGAAGACAATTTTAACGTTAAATTGAGCAGTAATGAAGTTTTTAACCAGAAAGGTTGGACTGGCTTAATAATACTGAAATCTGGGGTCGTCAAGTAGTTTTTATCCAATATCTTGATATACTTTTTATGTGTATTGTTGATTTCCTAATGATTCTTTCCGACAATGGCGTTAAGCTACTTACTTGAAGTTCCAGAGTTTGAGACATAAAAACATCTTAGGAAGATTAATTGGTTAATTGGTCTTCCCTGATCAGCTAACAAGGATTTACACCACTTAAATTTATATACAATTTGACGTGCCTGTTAGTACGGAGTAAAACATACTTTTTTTTTTAAACTTGGAATTATGGACAAAAATGAATAACTCCTAACAAATACCGTTGGTAGTGTATGTTGTAAAGAAGGTATAAATAAAGAATTTGACAATGCAATGGCAGTGAACAGGGAGCTGTTCTGAGCCCATTGTTATTTTCACTTTTTGTTTATAACCTGGAAGATATCCTCAATTTTGGTGGCCTCAACAAGCGTTTCAACTAATAATGAATGCTTTAAACTACAACTTTAAAATATGGGCTTTGCGTATAAATTAAAAAAAATCTAAACTAGTTATGGTTAAAAAGGGGGTAAGGTCTGCCAAAAATGAAAAGTGGTTTGTTGAAGGCCAATCAGTTGAAGTAACTAATTATTACAAATATTTGGGTATGATTTTAACGGATAGTTTAGTTTTGAATATGCTTATTAATGAAAAAACAAGGAAAGAAAAACAAGGTAGAAAAAGAAGAAGAAAAAATAAATGACAATTAATTAAGGTTTTTAGTTGAGATGAAAAAAAGTCAATGGCACGAGAGGGATTCGAACCCACGACTTTCATCTCTACTAAAAACCTTAATTAATTGTCATGTATTAATTGGTCAAGAGGACCACGAAAGTAGTGAATTAAGAAAAAATAAACTTTATTCTGGGGCTTAAAGCCCCCTTGAAAAACAAAACTATATAGTAGAGCCGGTTTTAGGCTCTTATAATTTTAACTGTTATGCTTTATACAAAATATTTTATTTTAAATTGAAATTTATAATTAATTATGTTCAATCTAAATTTTCGTCAAATTTATTTGTACGAATTTAACCTTGGGCGAAGTGTGGCCCAAACTGCGCGTAACAGCAATATTGTTTGAGGAGGAGGGAAGCATTAGCGAATCCATGGTGTACCGATGATTTCAGAGATTTCGTCTTCATCAGACAGGGAAGGTCGCGGTAGGCCGTCCGTTGTGGATGATGACCAACTCGAAACGTTGATTGAAGAAAATTCACGTAAGACAACACGGGAAATTGTGTAAGAGTTTAGTGTTGACCACTCAACCGTTGTTCGCCATCTGGAGCAAATTGGTAAATTAAAGAAGCTCGAAAAGTGGAGTACCGCACCAACCAGCCGAAGCCCAAAGAAATCGACGTTTTGAAATTTGCACGTCCCTTCTGTTGCACCACCAAACTGATCCATTTCTCATCATGTGCAATGAGACATGGATTCTGTACGATAACAGAAGGCAAACAGGTCAGTGATTGGACAAGGGTGCAGCATCAAAACTCTATCCGAAATCACATCTATACCCAACAAAGTTTATGGTGACTGCTTGGTGGGGTACTGCTGGGGCTGTTCACTACAATTTCCTGAATTATGGTGGAACTATCAGAGATATATTGCCCAGAAATTGACAAACTGCAACGGCTTTGTCCAGCATTGGTAAACCGTAAGGGGCCGATTCTTCTTCACGATAACGCCGTGCCATAAGTAGCAATGCCAACCCTGCGGAATCGTAAGGATATAGCATTTGAAACCTTACCGCACCCTTCATAATCACCCGACCGTTTATACAAAAATAGTTATGTTTAATTTGACCACTCGTAGCATTGATTTTATGAAATTTTGAATGTAGTTCTGTGGAATATTTTCATGCCCCTCCAACAGCGCTCCATTCCAACATTCCAATTCTCCAACTAGTCTGGTATCTCTGGGCGACTTTTTACTACGATCTTCACCCCACAGGGGATAGGGTTTAAGTCGGGGTTACATGCTGGTCCCTTCAAATATTGAATTGAAGCCCATCCAAGTAGTCCCCAGCACAATCCTAGCAGTGTGGGGCCTTGCATTGTCACCATTTTTGCACCAGCCCAATACATTACATTTGTTACAAGGTCTTGGGTTCGAATCCTGCTCGTCACACTGACTTTATTTTTTATCTTGATCCACTCTATTCCACAGACAGAGACAACCAAAAACACACTTTTTATAAAAATAGTCTTTATTTTTTTAAACCATATTGATGTTTAAACCATAACCTCTTCAGCTGTTATTAATGCCCAGTTTCATGAAACAATAAAAAATTTATCACTATAAAATGACATAATTTTTATGAGTCATATATATATATTGTATCCATAGTATTTACACATATTTTTCTAGGAATTTTTTCTTTTTTTTAATATCAGGATATTAACAGGCTGTAATAACAACGTGTTGGGTTCGTGGGTTTGTTATTACAGCCTGTTAATATCCTGATATTAAAAAAAAGAAAAAATTCCTAGAAAAATATGTGTAAATACTATGGATACAATATATATATATGACTCATAAAAATTATGTCATTTTATAGTGATAATTTTTTTATTGTTTCATGAAACTGGGCATTAATAACAGCTGAAGAGGGGTTGCAAGCAGCTCCCCAAAATCGATATGGTTTAAAAAAATAAAGACTGTTTTTTATAAAAAGTGTGTTTTTGGTTGTCTCTGTCTGTGGAATAGAGTGGATCAAGATAAAAAATAAAGTCAGTGTCACGAGCGGGATTCGAACCCAAGACCTTCGGCTAAATACGCCGCTGCTCTACCACTTGAGCTATCGTGACTTCGAGCCTCTTTTTATCTCAACCAAGACCTTTCATAACAAGAATAATTAATTGAAAGAAGTAACTTGGTCAATTGACCACTAAAACATAAATGAATAAAAAATAAATTAGACAGGTCAATTTTTATAATTTGCTTACTGTCCGAAAATCTGACTTTGTGTGGCAAATTATTTAAGTGTTGTTGAACGTTTAAGAAGACCCTAACTTCCATGCTCAATGTAATATGTTGTGGCTTTTATTTAGGGTTTTATTTTTATTTTTATAATTATGAAGTTCGGTTTACGCCAATCTACATACTAATACTTGTTGAGTTCTGGTGGTTGAGGTTATAAAATCTGATGACTTTCTAAATCAACTTTTAAACTACCCTCAACACGACTGCTGCTTGATAAAAATCAGAACTTTTTGAGTTATTTCCCTGTGAGAAAAGCGTAAAAGTCTGAGGAAAACAAGACTGATTCGGCTAGTGTTCGATAAGCAAAACAGGCGATCTGCTTAACTTTCTTCGTATTTTCACTTCCTAATTGTACGAGGGATCGACAATGGGCCGTGCTCGCAGCCCGCGACGTGCACATCGGTTGACAGCAGCCTAAGCGGAATCTGCGACTTGTTCAGATGACACAATAACAAGGAACTCCATTGTTTTTCCGGGCGTAATCAACTCGCTCAAGTGACGGATGAAAGCGTTATGCTCGGATCCTGGGTATATATGGTGTTTTTTGCCGAAGGATCTGCAGAACTGTTCGAACACGGCCAAGACAAACATCCGAGATGAGCTCCACGATATTGTTGACCATGATGCTCCTTTGCCTTGGGCTAGCCAACTGCGCGGTGATTTTGGACGAGAGTGAAAAGACGCCGAGGATCGACATTGGTGACATCGCAAAGGAACTTTTGGGAAGATCCGGATCTAGCCAAGTAATTTTTTTTTACTAAACTCAAAATCATAAATTCTCCTTTAGTTTAAATAATTATTGATGTATTGTGTGACTTTAAAAAGTATTGATGTCAAGTTACGCCTTATATTTAGGTCTTAAGTTTGAACCTGACCAATTTGGTGATCCTACTGGTCCTGAAGGGTCTCTTGTTTGGAGTGACTATGTACGGGGGCGGGCACAAGGGCCGGTCCATCGAGTCGGAAGAACTCATCTCAGAAACGGAAATCATGTTAATTACGAGCTATCTGATGGGAGACACGGACAAGAACTACTCATGCCTTTACAGAGTGGCCTGTCAGGATCCGAAGAAGAGCAAGCAGTACCTCCAGGCGGCCAAACTACTCTTGAAAAGCTCTAAAATGTTCGCGGAGTAAGTACAGACACAGTAGTGTTCGAAATGCCGGCGAAATCACTTTCCTAACCGTTTTTGTCTTTCAGTATCATCGGCTATGATGAGAAGTACGAGACTCTAGTTGGGGAGATTCAGGAGGCGATCGAGTACGGCACCAACCACGGAATCTGCGACCAGAAATACTCCTGTTCGGCTGAGAAAAACCTGAATAAAAGCGTGACATAATTCTTCTATATAACTAACGTTCTTTTCCTCCTAATGTTGTTCATATTTAATATTTTTCATAATAAAACATTTGTACATTAATTAATTTTATCCAGTCTATCATTTCCTTCAATTGCCTATTGATCGACATGTATCGTTTTTCATAGAGAATGACAGTCCAAGCCTGCGTTTGGACAAAGATTGGAATAGAAAATCACGATCACATGAATGCTGAGGTTATGCAACAAATATGGTTAGGGATGATGAGAAAGTGGCGACACGATCTTGGTCAGGGAACTAGTTTCAAACATCTCAAAGGTGCAACAATAATTATTCTTTCAGACAGCTTTAAAGGTTCTTCAAGCCTACGAGATCACCTCGAAACTTATCTGGAACTGCCTAAATAGCCTGAAAACTGACATCTTCAAATAGCCTAACGTTTATAGTGGTCCCCAAGACATGAGGCAATTACAGGCAACGGGTGAGTTTGCTAAAAATAGATTCTCATAACAACTTGTAATCCCAAATTCATTTTGTGGTATAAACTACAGCCACAAAGAATTTGAACCTTTAACTAAAATCGCAAAATGCGAAAACCAGGCATGAGGAAGCAAAAGAATTACTCGCAAAAATAATCTAATGGGAGAAAAAGGAAATGTTACGTATTTTGTAAATGCGGCGTAGGAAAAATAAAGAAAACAAAAGAACAAAAATACACTAATAGAACAAAATTTAATAAGAATCGTTCACCTGCCAAGCCATGGCAAAAAAGGACAAAGGTTACCTTTATATTTGAAAAAAAAAACAAAAAAACAATCGGTGTCCTCCCAATTTAATAAAAACAAACTGATAGTATTATAAATCGGAATATAAGATACATATCAACTTACAGAATATAAAAAGTTTCATTGAAATCGTCTAGTGAAGATTGTCAGGCGAAGATGGCCGCGCATAAACTGCCGGACCAACAGTTCAAATTCCAAAAAATGGCTTTAACAAGGGTGGTGCGTTAATATTATTAATCAGTGTATATTATTAATTGAGCTTATTTATTTAAAAAACTGACACCTAGTTTTTGGACGAAAAAATGGTGGAAATGCATATTTTCTTAGCCTTTTAATTCACAGACCTTCGCTAGGTCTCATTTTTTAGAAACTTTTACGTTGAAGAAGATAGCTTTTTAAATATTTTCCTAGATTCAGTCATTCATCAATAAATTTAAAAATTCGGGAACATGTTCATTTTTGTACTTTTTACGAAAATTCCTAGTGCAGGTGAGTGACTTAAAAGGTTGATAAAAATACATTTCCAAAGGTCGCCATCGTGCAAATCTTTTTTTATGGGCAGTACATTTTTAATGTTTGACTGAACTCCTTTTAAGCTTTTTTGGTCACGAAACGCCTAAATCCACTGACGGCAAAAAATACCACCCTCTTCTAATATAACTTGATTTGTATTTATTTTTATATTTTAGTTTTTTAATTGACATTTCAATATCGCGTATTTCCTCTTCTTGCCTTAATTACATCTCATAGACGCCTCGGCATACTTTCTACCAGTGTGGAAATACCTCTTTGCTGGAGGTTAGCCCATTCTTCACGAAGAGTCCTTTTAAGATCGTCGAGTGTATCGGGAACTGATGGATGTGTTCTTATTCGTCTTTTGAGGTTATCCCATAAATGTTGGATTGGGTTCAAATCTGGAGAAACGCCTGGCCAGGCTAAGACCCTGATGTTATGCTGTTGAAGGTATGTTTGCACTATGCGAGCGACATGCGGACGGGCATTATCGTGCATTAGAATAAGATTGTCGCTGATTTCATCGACGATGGGTGTGCGACTCTCTATTGAAATTCCCGCCCAGCCATCACTGACTACGTTAAAAAGGTTGGCTCTGGGAAAAATTACAAACTTCGTACCTTTCATTTCGCCTTCTCCACAATTTTTCACTTCTGGAGATCGTAGAGCAAATCTTCACTCACCTGTGAACAGCACAGCAGACCAATCGTCCAAAGACCAAGAGCCGTGTTCTCGAGCAAATGCCGTGCAACTCTGTGTCTTTTGGTCAATTCTGATCATCTTACAGGATTCAAAGCCATCAGTCCATTCTGATTTAATCTTCTTCGAGAAGTGCGTTCAAAAATTTGGACACCTCGAACTTTCTGGAGCTGATGAATCGCTTGAACAACAGTAAGGTGCCGGTTTCGCGAAATTTTCAAAGTCAAAAAACGGTCATCCTGTTATAAACTAAAAGGTATACTACTAAAGAAGTATGTCGATATTATCAGTTCCTACCTAACTGACAGACTGTTTAGAGTCAAACAAGAAGATCAATATTCAAAATTAAAAACAATAAATGCAGGAGTGCCACAAGGTAGCATATTAGGTCCACTGCTTTACTTGCTATACACCCGTGATTTTCCGAAAATAGATGGAGTAAAATTGCAACGTTTGTGGTGTTATGCTAGGACCGACTATCACCCACACAACCAAAATCCTTTAAAATGCACGTAATAAGATAAACGAATGTACAAAAAAATGGAAAATCAAGCTAAATCAGCATAAATCAGTTCATCTAATCTTCACAAACAAATAGGTGGACCATGTTCCGTCGTTCACAATCGATGGAACTTACCATACAGCAATATAGCTAAATATCTGGGAATGACCTTAGATGCCAAGCTGAGATGGAAAGAACACCTGAAGAAAAAAAGGACAGAAATAGGTTTAGGTATAGATAACTATACTGGTTGATAGGGCGTGGCTCCTACCTTGCTATTCAAAATAAAATATTATTATATAAACAAGTCATAAAGCCTATGTGGACATATGTTATTCAACTATAGGGTTGTACCAAACACAGCAATATCAAAATCATACAAACACTCCAAAATAAAATCTTACATAACATGGTCAAACCTTGGTACATAAGGAATAAGGACATAAATCTTAAGATTCCTGAAGTCTCAGTGGAAATACAAAGATTTGCCGCCCAACACCAGGCTCGCCTCAGCCAGCACGATAATGTGGAAGCGACCAAACCCTTACATAACCCAAACATGGTCAGAAAATTAAAAAGAACAAAGTCATATGAACTTTTGTAGTTAAAAATGAATAGTGAATAGTGAAATGTAAATCTTATTGTAACAATGGATTTATAAGAATGTAAACATTTATTTATTCTATATTATTGTAAAATTAATGGTTGGTCTAATAAGACCAGTTTTAATAAATAAATTTTATTAATTAAAAAAGTCCTGTTATTCTAGGGCCTTCTATGGTAGGACCCAGTTTCTTGAAAACATAAGGAACTCCGATGGCAGTAGCCGCATACCTGATGGAATGTCCATCATCAATAAGTGCCATACCACGTGCAACATCCTCAGCACTAAGTGGCATATTTTAAGTTTAAAAATGGAAATTTAAAAAAACAAAAATGAAAACTAAACAGTTTTTTGCTTCAGAATTCAAATTAGAGTGAATGAACTTCACAACATGAACACAACAAACAAATTCCGTAAAAAGTAAAAATTGAAAAATCCTTTATCCTTTTGTGGATGGGTTGTGTGTTTACTTCTAATTGATATTCCTATTTTAAAACGTAGCATATAGAAATATTTATTGGTATAAACAGGGAGACAAATTAAAGGCAGAATTTTCTTTCATGGAAAAATTGAAAAAAAAAATCAATTGGGTGGTTCTTTTTTGCCTGTCAGTATATTGGAGGAAAGAACTTTAGCGCAGGATTTTGCAAAAACAGTGAATGTTGTTGTAAAAAAATAGATGTTTAAAGAAAACAGCAAAACAATCTAAGAATATTGGAAAAATAAGGGAAATGAATTTGAACATGTCGGCTGTTAGAATCAGAACCGCCAGAGCGCCATGTTCTCGGTTTCAGCAGGTTAACACATGTTCAGGTTACTCATCTGCGTTTTAAGCGCGAACTGACTTTATCTATATTTCACAATCTCAGTTTTGTCTTTTTCCGACTTGCTTGAAATTAGTAAATGTGTCATTTCACCAGAGTGGAGATCTGTTGAAACTCAAAGACACTCGGATTACAGTTGTTTCAAGATTGATTGCTCTTCGGACCGGTGAGTTTCCGCCTTGTGCAGTGCCAAGCACGTTTGTTTTGGTATTTATTGTCTTATATTTTGTTTAAGAGGAGAGACGGAAATGGTGCCGGAAAACGAGCCTCTTTCCGCCTTCGCGGTGTACACCAAGCAGAACGGCACGTCGAAGAACGCCAAGAAGAAGAAGAAGCTGAAGGCCAGGAAGCTCGAGGCGGCCGTCGCGACCGGCAGAGAGGAGAAGAAGAAGCTGCTCGTCAAGAAACGAGAAAAGATCGAGTCCGTCATGAAGAAGAAGCTCAAGGAGCCTGGTACTTCGCAGAAGGAAGAGGTAAAGAATTTGAAACCGAAGAAAGTGAAGAAGGCCAAAAAGCATAAAATTGAAACCAAGGATGCTTCGCCCGAGGTGAAAAAGAAGAAGATGAGAAATAAACGGCCCGAACAGGACTTGAACATCTTTGCGGAGGTGTCGCAAGGACCATGCTCTATCCATTCGGTCGACCGGCCCGGCATCATCCAACAGGTCTCGACGCTACGGATGGAAAAAGGTGCAGCTGCGGCTTCAACCACTAAACGGCACAAGAATGAACTCCTCAACAAAGTCAAGAATTTTGCTCTTCACAAGAAAAACAGCTTTGTAACAGGACAAGAGATCCTTGAAAAAATTTTGGCACCTTTGACGCTGGACACTTTCATGAGGTAACTTTTTTTGTACCAAATTTACTTTCACTATGATGTGATACAATTTTTTTAAAGTGGCATTATGATCTTGCATATTAGCCTGAGAAGTAAGATGCTACGTCCAATAATTTATTTATTTTTATTTTTTGTGGGAAAGGGGTACGGACAAAAGGCCAGGAGTGATGGCAAGAATCGAACCCACAAAAGTCTTTTATGATAACCACTCGGTTACCATGGTCTGTTTAAACAATTTTAATTTTATGCTAGATCACACATTTTACTGTGTTCTGGTTTTTTGGATCGTACTTATTAATATTTTTAATTATCTCTTAGACAATCCTACATGAATTATCTTACAAAAATATTTGGTCCGTTTTAAAGAACTAGAGGTAAATAAAACAAAATCTCTCACTTATGTTTACAATTGTATATTGTAAATAAATCTTTGAATAATCGATGTCTTCTTTGTTACTTTTTCTGTAAGGATTCTTTCTAATGTTCCACTAGTTTGATTTATTATAAATTTGAAATATCTTTAAGTGATAGTTTTAGGCGATATGGAATCGGCTAGAATCATAGCAATGCTTGAAGGTGGGAGAAGATAAATGTATGATGCCAGGGTGCTTAACATTCCCAGAACAACTGTCTGACAGGTGCTAGAGGTTACTCAAGAAGGCATGGATCAGATTCTACCGTGTCACATCTCAGAGAAATGATCATTTTATTGTTTCAAATATACTCCGTAAATATCATTCTACAGCTGTTGAAATCAAGCAACGACTTCAACAAGTTAGAAATGTTAATGTCAGTTTACGCATTGTAAGGTGTACACTTTCTGAAGGTTGATTTGTGCGAGACTGCCCTGCCACAGGCCCAAGACTGCTGACAAGGCACAGAACAGCTCGGTTCAGTTTAACAAGAAATCACATCAATTGGTCTGAGCAAGATTGGACTGAAATTTTGTTCTCAGGTGAATTAAGGTTTTGTTTGAGGTCGTCTTATGGCCAAGAGAAAAACAGGAGAGCAATACACGCAACGTTTTCACTCTGAAGAATCTATAGAGGAGGTGGTGTTTGGTCTGGGAAAATATTCCATCAAGGGTTCTCTAACAGCTGTGCAATACATGAACATGTGTTAACAGAAGTTGTTCCTTATATGCTACTAATTGGCAACAGTTTTATTTTTATGCAGGACAATGCAAGGCCCCCACACAGCTAGGATTTTTGGGGTACTACTTGAAGCGGGCTTCTTCAATTCAATGTTGGAAGTGGCCAGTATGTAGACCTGACTTAATCCCTATCGAACACCTTCCGAACGAGTTGTCAAAGAGGGTAAAATGGCACCCAGTGATTTGCAGGAATTAAGACTGGCACTGTTCGAGGAGTATGAAAATATTCCACAGCACTACATTCAAAACGTCATATAATCAATACCAAAATTATAGGTTATAAGTGGTCAAATTAATGGCACTTAACTATTTTTATATAAACATTTCCAGGGAAGTTGATGTGACAGTAGAACTCCCTACTGACTCCTATTAGCAAGTCTTCTCCCTGGTTCCATACATGAAACACCTGTTTCATTAATCTTTATATTGTACTGATTAATGTTATAATTATTTATTTTTTTAGTCTAAATATAGTTGTCTTCGAACAACCCATAATTTATATATATTGGGTTGTGCAAAAATAATGCAGGTTTTGAAAAGGTTGTCAAAACTATTTTTAATTTTTATAAATTAAAGAAAATTAATTCGAAATATTGTCTATCACAATCTATACATCTTTGCCCATGTATAATAACCGCTTTTATTCTGCTGACATAAAAATCTTTATTTCAACTCACAATAAAGTCTTGGAGGCATTTTCGGCTTCACTGCATTCTCTAAAGTTAATCCCTCAAGAAGTTATCAAAAAAAGTGGAAATCTAAAGACTAGAGATCGGGTGAACATGGAGGGCGCAGTAAGTTTCCCATGCATTTTGTTAATTTCTTGGCAATATTTCTGATAGTTTTGCCATAATTCAGGAAATTATATTGAACAACCTCAGCAGTTCTTCACCAAACAGTCACCGTAACCTTTTTGGGTGCAGATTTGGTATTGGGAAGTGTTTTGGCGCTTCGTCCTTGTCCAACCACTGACCTGTTTGCCTCCTGTTATCGTACAGAATCCATTTCTCATCACATGCGATGATTCCATCAAAGAATTGGGTCATTTCGGTGGTTCAACAAAGTTGTCTTCATGTTAGTCATTTCATGAGGGTCTCAATACTTGTCCATATTGTGCAAAACGTGACAAATCTCAGAAACTGACTCTGGCAGATTTGTAGTTTGTTGAGGTTTGTTCAACAGGTGGAACATCAGGGACAGGGGACAGCAGCCTTATTTCAGTTTTATCACGATCAACTCTTTCATTCACATGTCTGGTGTAAATCAGATGGTCCACCTGCAATGCCCTTATCAGGGCCAAAATGCGGGACACGAGTAGTGAAAGACCTAGTGGTTAAGCCGAGGTATTTAACACTGCAACCAGGGGATTTCCATTTGCCCAGTCACCATGGGTCTTTTGGTGAAGAGAATGGCTTCTGTTTTAGATGAATAGAGGGCAGTCGAGCTGCACTTCTTGGGTAGGGCTAAGGTATTGAAGAACAGGTTAAACAAAACGGGGCCTAGGATTGATCCTTGGGAGACTCCAGCTATGATTTGATGTCCATCACCACACAAGCCTCTATGAGAAATCTAATACTCTCAATAAATATTGTATTTTGACAATATCCTGAAAACGGAAAAGGCATGAAAATGAAATTAAAGAACACAGGTAGTGTTTTGACGTTGACTTTTAGTAATTAAAACTGTTTCATGAATGCTCATTTTTGTGATGGTACTTCAGGTTGTAAAAATTGCCACACAACTTCATAAGCCTCTTTATACATATATTGATGCATACTGTATAAATTTGTAGGGAGTATTGGGAGAAAGCGCCTGTTTACATTCCATCGTCAAACGCGAGCAAGTTCAGCAAGCTAATTAGCACGCCGATGATGGACGAGATATTGCGTGAGAATGTCATTCTGTTCGGTAGAGACGTGGACGTCACTACTTACACGGATGGCGTGAGGGAAACACACAACCCAGAAGCGAGAGCACAGGCCCATGTCGTCTGGGACTATTATTCAAACGGATGCAGCGTGCGTTTTCTAAGCCCTCAGACATACTCACCACACCTTCTGGCCCTCAATTCAACCCTCCAAGAGTACTTTGGGTCCTTTGTCGGCGCCAATGCATACCTGACACCGCCAAACTCTCAAGGATTTGCACCGCATTATGATGACATTGAAGCTTTTGTACTTCAAATCGAGGGTAAAAAGAAATGGAAGGTTTATAATCCAAGGTAAAGATGTTTTTTTATTAGTGTGTGTTTTTAATAAGCTTTTCTTTTTTTTTATTAGTGTGTGTTTTAATAAGCTTTTATATTTTTTTCCTGTGTGCGTTTTTAGAAACAGATATGAAATGCTCCCAAGACATTCTAGTAAAAATTTCAAACCTGAAGAAGTCACAGAGCCTCCGGTGCTTGAAGTCACGTTAAAAGCTGGCGATGTGCTATATTTTCCTAGGGGTTTTATACATCAAGCTAGAACTCTTTATAATGAACATTCACTCCATGTAACGGTTTCAGTATATCAGAAAACTTCCTGGTGTGATCTCTTAGAAAAGGTAAACCTAGCTTAGTCTACTTTTTTAGCTATTTCAAACTTAATTTTGTCATATATTACGCTTGTCTTAATTTTTGAATAATAAAAGAAAGTGTTTTTCCCAAGGCTGTACCAAATGCGTTGCAGAGAGCAATTAATGAAGACATTGACTTTCGAAGAGGTTTACCAATTAACTATCTAAAACAGGCCGGTTTAGCGTACAAAACTTGTCCAGAGAGAAAAGGTTTAATTCAAAACTTAAAAAAACTCATCACAAAGCTTGTGAATTATGTTGACATTGACCAGGCTGTAGACGATATGGGGACGCAGTTTATGCACGATGCCCTCCCTCCTGTTTTATCGATCGGTTAGTTTCTTTTGTATTTATTGATTTCTGTTAATATCAAACTGAATTTGTTTTATTACTTTTTTTATTTATTTAAGAGGAAGCGTCATGTTCAGTGATCGGAAATGGAATGCGAATGGAGGAAAATGGCCGTTTGAGGAATCGAGTAGAAGTCACCCTGGAAACAATGGTCCGACTAGTTCGTGCTAACTGCTCCAGGTAAAAAAAAGAACAAAAAAATGTTGAAGAGGCTTTCAGTCAAGTCTGTCAGTTTGCTCTGGAAACTCAAGGGCATTCTACCCTAACCATCCCTAACCATCCTTCTACCCACTACCTCATCTTCAAATCCTATCTGACAGGATCCTACCTAGCATGGATTGGATTCTCACACCCTTGTTTGTACAGTCCATCAGGTTGGTGTACTCAGCCTGATATGTACTCAGTATATACTGCTGATATCCCTTCCCAACCCAACCGACCCTCTTATCTAGCACACCATTCTGTACTCTCACTCTGACCCCGTAACACCTCACCCAACCCTCCACACCTTATTCAATTGAACAATGGTTCAAAAAATCCTGAATCCAATTAAACACTACAAGTCCCAAAACCTTCACCCTCCGTTTTATAACTCTACCTCCAAACTATCATTCTTACCGAAAACATCATCATCCACTACATAGACCTGTACCTAGACGAATGACCTGGAATCCCCGTACAGGACTCAAAAGATAGTCAATACTATTTCCTCCTGATATTTTTCCAGCGATCCTCCTCAATGTCTAAAAAGGCAGTTTTTAGTCTCAGAGAGTGCGGTTGATTAAGTTATAATGTCTGATTTAGGAGTGCTCTCATTGGATAGCTTCTCCACTTGATATCTTTTCAGGGTTTTTTTTCGCCTATAATTTGTTGTATTTTAGATTTGTAAGAGAAGATGTTAAACTTGAAGACGGTACGACTGAAACTCAATACAGGCTCTACCTGTCGATTGACAATTCTAAAGAATACCACCAGGAAGAACCGCAGTACCTCATTTTACCAGAGTATATGGTCACGGCGATGAAGTTCCTGATAGCCAGTTATCCCTCTTTCACCCCGATAAACATGCTTCCATGCGAAAATGAAGATGATAAGGTAAGCCTTTTGTAACTTTTGATAATCTTATTTTATCACTTTAAGTCACAATTTTGAAGTTACTATCATCTAACATTATTTTAGATGCTGCTTGCCAGCGATTTGTGGGATCGGGGTGTTCTCGTTACCGAAACGCCCTTCGATGAAATGAATCAAGATGAAACAATACAAACCATCTTTAATGATGTGTCCGGCGATGAAAATGACGATTCGCAGGAAGGACACGATGAAAACTGCGACGTGTCCGATATAAAGAACATCTTGAGGGAAATGGTGGCCGATGAAGAACTGAATAAAGGACAGGGCGGCCAAACTGAAAAACCACCGGCCAAGAAGAAGAACAAAAAAGAAAAGAGATTAGATTCACAAACAGAAAAAACGCTAGAAATCAGCGACGATGAGATGGCATCCAATAAATTGGATGATGAATCACAGTACTTTTTATGCAGTGAAGAAAGCAATTGTGATTCTTAGACGTGTAACCAGATAATGATGTTATTTGTTAATCTAAAACATGAAATGTTTTATTCTTGTTTCAGTTCAATTCATATATATTTTTTTTAAATTCCTGTGGATTTAATTTTGGCATTTGGAGATTTTTTTACATGTAAATAAATGTATTTATTTAAGTTTTAACAGAATCATTTAACATATAAACTTTTGAACTTTGTGAAAACTTTCAAATAAGCTCTTTTTCAACTCTTTGTCTAATTGCTTAAGTAAATGTTAAAATATTAAATTACGTGCTAACCTTACCCTGGTGTATTTAATCATCTCATACCATCATAAGTTTGGTAGTATTTTAGACATTTTTGTAGTAAAATAGATGGGCAAAATGGAAGTAGAAACCTTAAAACATTTCCTTACAAGCAAGCACATACTAATATAAAAAAAAGTAAGTAAAATGTAAAGTAATTCCTGTCATTCAGGAGGGCTAATGTCCAAATAACTGCTGGGTGTCTGGAACAAGGGATCAAACCACTTTTCAATACTTTTCCCATATTATTCACAATTAAAAATCCTCATGCTATGCCAGGATTCGAACCCATGACCGCTAGCACTATGAGTCAGATGCTCTAACCACTCACTCGGCCTCCACAGTCCCCCAAAGGTGTTTTATAGTCAAGATTTGTAGGCTATCACAAATTTGTGCTTGTCTACATTAACAAAAGCTAATTAAGGTTTTTAGTTGAGATGAAAAAAAGTTAATGGCACGAGAGGGATTCGAACCCACGACCTTCGGCTAGATACACGTCTGCTCTACCATTTGAACTATCGTGATGTCGATCCACTCGGACACTAACTCCCCATCTCAACCCCACCTTATGGATTTTCCCTCCTTTTGTCATTTTTCATCATTTATTAGTTGAGATGGGGAGTTGATGTCCGAGTGGATCGACGTCACGATAGTTCAAATGGTAGAGCAGCCATGGTAGAGAGTAGCAGCATCTAGCCGAAGGTCGTGGGATCGAATCCCTCTCGTGCCATTAACTTTTTTTCATCTCAACTAAAAACCTTAATTAATTGTCATGTATTAATTGGTCAAGCGGACCACGAAAGTAGTGAAATTAACAAAAGCATTTGTTGTGGTAAGGGATGTTTCTTTGCAATTCTACCTTCTTTTTATTATCATTAGCTAGAAAATTGATTGAGGTGTTCAAAAGTTATAACATTTTTGGTATCCACAGAATCACTTGTATTTCGTGTATGATCCAGTTTTTGGTTTAAAGCCAATTAAAGTTGAGAACTACCTATTGGTAGTAATCTGGCAATGTTCTTGCCAGGTTTAGTTAGGGTTCAAGGTGAGAGGAGGAGCTATGTCCTGTTAAGCTGGTATGATCTGCTTGCTCCGAGTGAGTAGTGAGACCTTGTCGACGAAACGAGGCTGAAGACTGAAGTTAGTGGGCATTGCCCCTGCTTATATAAAAATTACTCTCTGGTGATTGGCTGCAGAGAGGCAAGATACTTCCTGAACTGGTGGTGACATCTTGTGCATGGTTTGGAAACTGCAGATGGTCACAACATTGAGTAATGGTTGAGATCTCGTTGACCAGTCTGCTTTAGGACTTAGTAGAATAAGTCCCTGGTTATATACAAGAGTGCTAAATGGAGAACGGAAGCAGCTACAATTAGACTAAAACTTTAGTTAACACAGGCAGTGACCACAATGTCATCGTCGGGATGAGAGTTTCAGTTTTTAGGATTTATGAAGGCTTTATGAAACTTTGTTAACAGAAGCTTACTACATCTTGGACAAAAGTTATAAGTATGTGCAGTTATGTTGGACACAGAATGCAGCATCAAAGATTTTTCTTAGTATTTATGAGGTCCCAGGACCTGATGAGATAATCTTTCTTCTTTGATTCCATCCAAAGAAGATGCAAACAAAATCAATCACTGGCTAGGTGTATGGATCCGACCTAGCTTAGTGTCCTACGGAAGAGGCTGGACCTAACAAATAACCTAAAATATGTTGTGTGGACGAACTCAGGAGTGGACTGTGTCCCCTGACAGATTAGGCAGTTTGGATGTGATGGATATTGTTGATATATAATGTTTGGCTGAACCCCTCACTTCCAGTCGTAGACGTCGACTTCACTAAGGCTGTATACCAAGCAGCCTTTTCTATATCAGAGGTAAGTATATGCGTTTATCGACCAATCGCGAAAGAGCTATCTATAATGTCATAACTTGACGTTTCAACCGTGTGTGTGGATTCCATGTCAAAATGTTTGTAGGTGTATACTCCTAGATACAGCTTGTCCGCAGTTGAGGAGGAAATATGGATAGAAGTAACCTATGGAGGAAGGGATCTTTATGCGGAGAGTAAAGGTTATATGGGTGGAATTTTCTATTAAATTTTATTATTTCTTTGCACACCAAGCTCTAGTAGTGTGTGGTTTCGAGTGTGAATGATTATATTGACTGTACAGGTGAACGGTGTGATGATAGTAAAGGATGCATGTACATGGTAAAGTGTGATGGCCATAACATTACCCCGAGAGACACCGGCATGGAAGGGTATTACCTTCAATGACTCGGAAAAACCGATCATGAGCATGAATAGCAAGCCAGAGATTCGATCGAATTTTTTTGAAGGTTGGGGAGAGATTGATATATAATTATGACATTCCTTTCCTCAACTGTGACCTAAATAGAATTCCTACAAATTATAACATGTTTTGGAAAGTGTGCTTTTTCCATAAAACACCTTGGTGCCCCTTCGCGGACCTCTTTTAGTAGTGAGAAATACCCCACCGAAGAGGCCGTACAATAACCAGGCTAATGATGGACATTCACAAAGGATATGTGCCGATGTCCGGTTCCTCCTGGCGAGTCAGCATTTCTCGGTCACTGCTCTGCCCATCTACTTTAGATGACAGTTAAGAGGGCAGTGGCTGTTTTAGAGGCTCTATAATTTTCCTGAAATCTTACCTGTTGAGGAGTTCCTTCGCCTTCCATTTTTGGAGATTTGTAAATCTTTTAGCTTACCTCACACCTGGTGCGTTTGTCCAGAGTTGGAGTTTTCTTTCTAAAGCCATTTTTCCAGTTCCAACTTAAGCACTCCATTGCACCTAGTTGTTCTGGTCGCCTGGGTGAGAAGGCTGCCCTTTTTTGTCTAGTTCGTTAGCCAGTTCATTTCCTTCACATCTAGGAACCCACTTCAAGGTAATCTTGTTTTGTTTTCCCAGAATAATTAATTGACAGACATTCTTGACATTGTCTAATGACTAATTTTGGAGTTGAAAGCAACGAATTCAGTGCCTTTATGGTTGACTGGCCGTCTGAAAGTATGTAAATCTGTGCACCTTTCATTTTTTTAAAATTAAATCCTGTGCATTGCATGGACTTCAGCTTAGAAAATGGTCCAAGGGACTTTGCTAGGGTCGAGTTCGGCTCTATTATCCCAACACTCTCTGTTCCATCTTTGATCCTATGCATCATATATCATAAGATAATTAGGGCCAAAAGAAAACATTTTTTAGGATAAATACAAAATTTATTATACAAACTATACATCCGAAATATAAATTAGTATTTGTTATTTATATGTACAATAAGATTTTCTAAAATTAATGATTAGTATGTAATGGACGTAATGTTAGTACCGATGATATGACAGGAAACAAAAAATATAGTAATAACTTTACAAACAAATAATGCAAAGATAACAAAATTAAGCTTAATTAAAACAACCAAAAAATAATATTTATTAATGAATGATTAGTCAAAATAGATTATTCTCTGCTTAAACATTCAATAAAATATCTTGGCACCTTAATTACAATAGGGAAGAAGAGAATTTAAGAATCCAAATATCTGTTTATCCGTAATAGCTGTTGCAATATATTTACAATATTCAAACTCAAGTAGTACCAAATTTGAAAAACAACGAGAAAAACGGATAATCAAATAGGTGGAATCCAATATTATAAAGTGTTGTGTTTTAAACCGTCGAGACGGATCCTTTTTGTTTGAATCCGTGGTTGAACTTGGCTGTGACCGCGGTCAAGTAATTGGACAGTTTGACGGGTGGTTTTAGGTCGTATGTCTGTTTAGGCCGAGCGACAAGCAGTGTCTGTTCAATCGTGGAGGCCGCATATTCCGGCAGTGTGTTCACGTTGTATTTCAAGTAAGCGTCTAGCGAATTTTCGCCTTGGTCCAATCTAGAACAAACAAAAAAGTGAAAAACGTTTGAAAACAAAAATCACATATAAAAAGGAAATATTGAGTCAGGCAACTTCAAAGTCCTCCATTTCTCAGCAGACTTTTTAAACAGCATAACACACCGGCAATAACGGGTTTAGCTGCATCGTAGATTTACGCCATTACAGTTGATAAAATTTCATGCAGTGCTAAACATGCTTTGGAATAAATTACACACATGGACATGCATAATGCATTCCTATTCTGCTAATATCACTAAATGATGGTAATCACTGTTCATAAACACACCATCCTGACGGCTAAAATTCACAGTTTCTTTCTTTTGTTATACAGGGTGTCCCAGTTCCTTCTGACGAAACTCAGAGAATCGATCCTATTCTTCGTTTGGAGCAAAAAATGCCCAGGAGATAATTTTCGGAAAGTTCTCTATTTTTAAGATATTCTTCAATTTAGGTTTTTTCAACTTTTCACTACCTTACCACTTAAAAACGCTTACAACTTCCAAAATGTTGAGGCTACAACAAATCCAATTGCACCATTTGAAAGAACGCTAAATTTGCTTTAAGATACTTCTTGGCAATAATCTGAATGACATTAAATGTTAGCCAATATCAGTTGGAACATGTCAAAATTACAAAATTTAAAATTTTGGTCATGATTGCACGTTCTACTGAGGTTACAAAAAAAAAAAAAAAAAACCTACAACTCTTCAAATTTCACAAAAACTTCTTCATCTAATATGCTTTACGCTGATATATCTAGGTTTTTAAATAACGTTCTAGTAGAGTTGAAAAATCAACGTAAAGCATATTAGATGAAGAAGTTTTTGTGAAATTTGACAAGTTGTAGGTATTTTTTTGTAACCTCAGTAGAACGTGCAATCATGACCAAAATTTTAAATTTTGTAATTTTGACATGTTCCACCTGATATTGGCTAATATTTTTTGTCATTCAGATTATTGCAAAGAAGTATCTTACAGTAAATTTAGCGTTCTTTCAAATGGTGCAATTGGATTTGTTGTAGTCTCAACATTTTGGAAGTTGTAAGCTTTTTATGAAGTAAGGTAGTGAAAAGTTGAAAAAACCTAAATTGACGAATATCTTCAAAATAGAGAACTTTCCGAAAATTTTCTCCTGAGCATTTTTTGCTCCAAACGAAGATTAGAATCGATTCCCTGAGTTTAGTCAGAAGGAACTGGAACACCCTGTATACGAACGAGAAAGTTTGTTTAGTTCTTTACTACACAATAGATTTTTTATGTTCAACTTTAAAGCTATTTCAATACTCTGACAAACAGAAGATAACTTTCAAGGTGGTGTGCTTCGGGAGAAATTTCAGTGGAGGTCTTGTTGATGATTTAAATAAACTTATTAGAGTAAAGTGGGAGAAAGGGGTAGTTAATGCTGACATCTGGTATATATATGGCCCTAAGGCGTGCTGGTATCTCCATAATTATAAGCCTTAGGCAATCTGCCACTGACTTTCTCCTGTGATTATTGAAAATTGTACCTAGGAGATCAAAATGTATTTAAAAAAAAAATAGCCATCTACTCGGAATAAAATCTACCTCATCCGTAGTGAAGCCCAGAACTAGACACAGTAAACTTATGATGAAACAATCCGCACCAAGACTGGCAAAACCACTGCTTTAATTGGAGAGGGCTGAACTCAGAGTGGTAGGATTACTAACCGGTCATTGGCATCTGAGAAAACATCTACACAGCATGGGCACATACAACGATATACCATCTGCAATTATGTAATGAAGAGGAGGAAACAGCCACCCATAACATCTTCGAATGTGAAGCAACAGCTTAATGGAGATTTAACCTAACATATGGACAAAACTTAGGGAAACAAATTGCATCAGCGACAGTCAACGACCTGAATCTATTGCACGGAACTAAGGAACTAGGATGGTACAATAAGCCAGAAGGCTGCAGTGCCTGGAGAGCACAAACTCCGTTTCCTAGTATCCTTATTCCAGTCCAGAGCCATTTGGGACTGCATCAGAGGCCTGTCAGACTTTAGAGATAACAAGAAAGTAACCCTTGCATTCAAGGCAGAGTGGCAAATAAGAGGGCTCAAAATTGGCTAACGAAAGTTCAATGAGGATACCTATTGACTCTGAACCCTTTTGCGGCATACCAAACTGTCAAAAACGTAGATACATCAAGCAATGGAATAAGAAGAAGTCCTCGGTTCTATTAGGTTGTGTTCCAGGACATGCGAAAAAATTCAACATTTAATCATCGCAGAAACACTAAAACTAGGTCGTGCTAGAAATAAAAGAATAGTTGGACTGCGGACTCCAAAGGCATATGTATAGATTTGGAGCAGCATAAAGAAGCTTGTGGATATTGCTCAGAAGAAGAAAAAAACCGAACATGTCCTTTCTTGGTGCGAATGCCTATGCAGGCTGAAATTCCTACTCGGCCCGGGACCTGAATGATACACATGGTAGTCCGTAACAAAGCGTTTGGATTTGTTAAAAAATCCAAAGCTTTGCGATTACATCAAGGCCCATTGTAACCATTACGAACAATAACAAAATTACCTTACCTTGCTTGGGTAATTTTACAAACAGGGCAGAGAAGAAACTACGAGGCTGATAAAATGGCCAAGGAACTGACACTTTAGCGACTGGGTTATTTGGTCGACCTGGTAAGGGTCGAGATTTAGAGCACATGGTGAACGGTGTGAACTTCTGGCTACCATTTAAAATTTTGTTGAAGCAGTGGCGACGACTAGTGGAAACTTTAACCATAGGCAGTCACCACAACACCTATCGGCCCTGAACCATACACAAGTTCTAAAAACGTAGACCCATCAGACAATGGTTAAGAATAAATCCTCGGTTTAATGGGCATGTAACCCAGTACAGAGTCACGCAAGAAGTTCCTCAAAAGATCATTGCAGTAACGACGCGGCAGAACTACTAAACCTGGTGATAGGACTTGTCTGACAGTAGGGCTGCTGATTGGATACTGCAGACTCTGGAGGCATGTTTACTGACTCAGAGCAGCAAAAACCAATCTTTGCAGATATTATTAAAAAGAAGAAGAAACAGCGAAACAAGTGGGAATACATATGCAGGCTGAGATTCTTACTCCTGGGTAAGGAAACGCCTAGAAGGATAGACGCGTGAGCCCTTAACAAAGCTTTGGGATCTCATTAAAAACCATAAGCTAAAGAGTTTCGTATAATAATAAAACTATCGAATAAACCAATATTGCTCATAAGTTGACAGGTATCGTTCAGCGCGACCCAACGGAATCAAAGGCGTTCTATTTAAGAACGTTACCGACCTGACTTTAACGCTGCGGTACAAGTGCTCGGATGTAAGCGTTCCTGTGTTGATGATGATGACAGAGACTCCGAGGGGCAGAAATTCGTTGGCAAGTGCTGTGCTCGCTCCCGCGACTGCATGTCTCGCTGCTGCGTATGCCACGACGCCTGTGCTGTTGTGGCACTCGCCGCTCAATCCGACGGTGACAAGTCTCCCTGAAAAACAAAAACAAAGGGGTTTTGAGGTAATCTTAAATTTTGAGCTCTAAATTGAAATTAAGCGTTTATCTGGGGGTTTATTTAATTAGAACACTTATAGCAGTCGATACGACCTATAGTTTAGTCTTTTCTGGCTATCCTGTTGGCCTAGTATCATTGGTTTTGGTAGTCATCAGTGGTGGATTTCTATGTTAATTTTTTTTGTTTTTGTACGTTCATAAAAAAACATTCTGAAATGCGTCTGACAGTCCAAACCAGCGTTACTATATATATCGGACTATGATGAGCAGAAACGACCAAACTGCATCTGCTATTTTGCCGATTCCTTGAATAGACTGTACTTAATTTCTATTTGATCTAAACATTTTAGTGTAAAGCTGTACAAAAAAATTTTCACCTTACCTTTAGTGACTTTAAGAAGCGGTAGTAGTGACCTGGCGGTTCGCAGGGTGCCGACGACGTTGACTTTAAACATAGATTCCCATTGGTAGCTTTCCTGTGCTTCCAACCGTCCTTTCACCACGGCACCGGCGGTATTCACCACGGCCCACAATCCTGGAAAAAAAAAATCAAAATTGAAGAATCGTAAAAAAAATGTAAAACGTGCCGAGCAAAGTTTCGACATTGCTCTGTCTACAGTTCAACGACTAGGAGTAATCAAACAAAAAAAGAAAATATGTTCAGCGCTTTATTTAGTCGAAGCACTTAAGCCTCACCTGTATTTTATCTTATGTGTATTTGCTAGAGTACATTAATGGGATAAACGGGGTGGAAATAATTTGAAGGTTTTCTCTCCTGACATTCATCCCACTCTTTTTTAATAGGTCCACTCTTCTAAATCTCATATCTATCCTTCTTTCTGCAACACTGTTAAAGTTTTCCAGACTGAGAGTGAATTCCAGAGTGAATAGTGATAGGGGATAGGGATAAAAGAGGCGGCCACAAGGCCTTCTGTACCTCGACCTGCGTAGATCTGTTGTGTTCCTTTGTTTTTTATTCCAAAGGCTTCAAACGTTCCTGCCAGCTTCAGGTTGATAATGAACCTCCATAGCGTTGCCAGCAGCAGAATCTTGCTTGTGGTTTTTCCTGTCCTACATTGACCTTCACAGAAACATAAAATGTGTTCTGCGGTCTCCTCCTCTTCCTGGCACTATCTCCAGTGTTTCTTCGGTCTGTACTCCTATCCGGTGCAAGTGCTTTCTTAAGTGGCAGTGCCCTTTCAGGAGTCCAACCAGAATCTTGCTTAGGTTGCGGTTGCCTTCTAGTAATTCCTTTGTAAGTTTTGCGGATTCTATGAATCTCTTCGCGTACCTCATTCCTGTGGAATGGGTCCACCAAGTTTTGGACTCATTAAGGATCCATTTTAACATGTATCCTCTTTTGTGGCAGGATGCTAAGCTACAGTAAGGTTCAGGACCTGGAGAGACCATGTATGTCCAACATGTAAACCTTTTCGCTGCCTTTATGCCCCGAGCGCCCAAGGACCCATGCCAGGATCAGGTCATTTGTGTCATGCCATCATGCAGTTCCAAACGCTCTTTGCCTTCACCTCGCATGAGGCTAGGGCCTTTAGTGCTTCCTGACTGTCAGAGAAGATGGATATCTTCCTGGAATGTATTCCGAGCCTTTTCATTTCTCTGGCGCAGTTTTTAATCGCTATGATTTCAGACTGGAAAACTGTAGCATATTCCTAGGTTTACCGTCAGTTCGATCTTTGGATTCATCTCTAAGTCTCCAGGTCCCGTGCCTTGCCGGTTTTGGAGCCGTCAGTGTACCAGTAGGAGTTTGCCTTTAGCCGTGTTCTTTTCGCCCATTCTTTCCGTTCTTGGGCTCATTTCATTGTGGCAATGCCGTGATGAACGTTGCATGAATTCGTAAGTTTTGTGAAATTTTTTTGGGCGACAAGGCAAAATCGAAAAGTATTCCAAGATACCCCGCAACGAGCTGATTGTACGCTGGGGACACACCTCGTTGGTTCCTCCTAAGCTATGTTCCCACTGTGTGTGACTTGACGCGCGTATTCAAAGACTTCCCACGTCTCAAAAATGCTTATGTTTGGCGAAATTTGCGCGGCCGTTAGTCACCAATTGCGAAAATCTTTTCAGGACAGTATTCTATTGTTTTTAGATGTTGAAAAATGAATTCAGCTCGGAATAAACCGAGACCACCGATCGTGGAAACGGTCCTCAAGCCGTACTGAAGCGTACTGAGCCACATCGAGCCACCTCAAGCAATAACGAGTCTTTAGGTTCACACGGTGAGAGGTATGGAAAACTTCAGACAAAACAAACGGCGGTTGGCCATCGATCGATCTGTATGTAATTTATTTTATCGGCGGTGCAGCACCACAGACGGTGGTCTGCTAGACCACGAAACTAAGGCTTTTCAGGGTTCTTGAATGAGGTCACATCACTAGGCGTGCGATTTTGGAGAAATGGAAATTCAGTTGTCTCCTCAGAAACTTTCGGCGGCACATTTTCCCGTTCCACCTAATAAATACGACCAATTATTTACATAAATTAACTTATCCAGTCGTTTATAAATTCTGTACCTTGATCTGGATGTATAGCTGACATTTAGCTAACAAAATAGGATCTCTTCGCGTGCCTCATACCTGTGGTATTGTTCCTCCAGGTATTAGACTCATTAAGGATCCATCAGTGAATAATAAAGATCAAACACAAATAATTTTATGCTTGAAGATATTTCCATAATTTTTCTACACAATACGATACTTTCACTTCTTAAAAGTTAGGCGTGAAGACCAGTTCTCTCTACTGACCTATTGACCAGTATTTTTTTTCCAAAGGCATATGAAAGGTGGTGTTGACAAAGTCAATGTCCTAAATCAGCGAGTGTAGACGGACCCAGTAAAGTGAACAATGTCGGTCAGTTCAACAAGTACACGGGAGAAAGAAAACAATAAAATTACATAATTCACACATTGTTGGACTTGCATTATATATTATTTTATAACTTGTTTCCTTTTTCATTGCGAAAAGCTCTGAAACGTTCCAAGGCGTATTGCACATTCGCGTACAAACACACAAAGAATATTAATGAGCAAACGGGCAAAGGTAGAGTTTACTCGTTTTTTTTTTCTATGACGAACCCTTCTATGTTCGAAACCAACAGAAAACATTGTCATATACGACATAGAAAGTATCTTTAAGCCATATTTCTTTCTTAAGTTAAAGGCCAAACATGTGCCAAGGTTCCAGTAATCAATAAACATAAATAAATAAAAAAAACTTTAATAAGTAACGATTGTGTTCAGAAAATAGTGCTTTATACATGTCATTGAACCCGCACGTACACGGTACCCATACCAGAAGAGAAAGAGTGGGCCAAAAGAATGTCTCATCCATCTAAACTGATGGTGCTGGAGTTCTAGGGATGAATGCGAACTGACTTTAAACTTAGGTAAATTTGAAAGTTTTCCAGTCTGAATCATAAGGCTAGGAACATATTTCACGCAGGTTTCCATTTTCTCTGACAGTCAGGCGGCAGGTTTCCATTCTAAACTGTTGGTGCTGGAGTTCTAGGGATGAATGCGAACTGACTTTAAACTAGGTATATTTGATAGTTTTCCAGTTTGAAATCATCAAGCTAGGAACATATTTCACGCAGGTTTCCATTTTCTCTGACAGTCAGGCGGCAGGTTTCCATTCTAAACTGATGGTGCTGGAGTTCTAGGGATGAATGCGAACTGACTTTAAACTAGGTATATTTGATAGTTTTCCAGTTTGAAATCATAAAGCTAGGAACATATTTCACGCAGGTTTCCATTTTCTCTGACAGTCAGGCGGCACTTTAGGCCTTAGCCTTAGTATGGAAGCCCTGACAGAAGTCAGGGACACGATTGGCCCTAGGCTGCCGAGACATAGAGAAAATGAGCAAAATAGACAATATGGTTTTTCTATGCCCCAAACTCTATCACGGTCTAGCATCTTGCCAGATCCAAAAATAGATTCTTAATGAGTACAAAACCTGGAGGAACAATACCCTAGGCATAAGATGCGCGATGAGATTAATAGAAGTGCCGTCCGCAAGACATACAAAAAAATACTGTAAGAGGTAACCGCAATAGAACCAGGATTCTGGTTAGATTCATGATAGTGCACTACAGCCAAAGAAGGTATATGCAGCAGGTAGGAGTACAACAGAAAAACACTATCATTGATACTGCTAGGAAAAAGAAAAGACCGCAGAACACGTTTTAGGTTTTTATGAAAGTCTTGGTGCCGATTCTTGCAACTATGAGAGGAAAACTGCAAGGAAGATCTCTTACTAAGGTATCTCTGGTAACCAAATATTGTTAAATTATCGGTTTCCGTTTTGTAATTACTAATTTTCGGACACGAGATTTGAATAAATTGAAAGACACGGATGTAAATTGAACTCGTCTTCAGAACTATACCCCAACGCTGTAACCTCCTGGGTCACTGTGATTTCGAACTCAGACGTCATCGAATTTTCTATGTCAACACATAATAATTTTGCATTCTACTTTTATTTTCCGTATTAACCTCTGGCAACGCTGCGGAGGTTGATTGACAACCTGAAACTGGCCAGTGTGTTATAAAACTAAAAGAGCACAATAGAGGTGCAAAAGGCCTTGTTGCCACCTCTTTTTCAGCCCTATCCCCCACATTTCATTGAATTTGTTTTTATTAATATTGAGACACCTTATTACACTGTATCATTGTCACCTAATTTCATAGAAATTAAGATATTAAAACATGTCATAGAATTTTTCTTATGTTTTTGTTGATAGACTGTCTGCACTATTATAAACGCTAATTTAAGATACTATCTGAAAAGTGAAATTTTAATAACAAACAAAACAAATTTGTGTGATGATCACGTACTCATATGAAAATTTGAAAAAGGTTTGGTTTTTCTTTAATTAGAATTTTTAATTTAAGGTTTATTTCGTCCAAATAGCACATGTATTAACGGGATGTATTAACAAATTACTCATTTATGTTATTTGGGTTTTTGTGTTCCTTGTAGACTGTATGCATTATTATAAATGATGATGAAGAAGATTAATGTGTTTGGGATCTGGTTTCTCGTCAGGTAGAGAAAGAAGTAGACTCTGTGATCACTTGCTAAGCTTTCGGCCTTTATAAAGCCATCATCAGGAGAGCATCCTATTTCTCATATTAACGTTACAGACTGACGAAAAAAACCCGACGACACGACTACGAGGTCTCGAAGTACATGAGGTTGGTTAAGTTGAAATTAAGACAAGTTTTTTTCAGTTTTTTCAAGGATAGTGGTCCCCAAAATGCTGTTCTAGTCGATAAAGGAAACGTTTAAATAAAACGTAACTGAACATAATTGAAAGTAAACAAAAAAGACTTTGGTACAAAAGAGCAAAGGGAAAACAAAAACCATTACAAAAATTAAATTAAATGTTTAATTATTCAGAAATCGTGAGATGCGGTCTGGTGTGAAGTAGGTTTCAGAAAAACATTTTCTTTATCGTGCCAACGTTTCGATCTTTATTGAGATCATCTTCAGGGCTCAAAGTGTTTGTCTTCTGTGTA